TTTTGGGAAAAAGGTTATATACCAACTGCTCTAACTTTCAACCTCTTAAAAGAAATGAACAACTAGGAAAAGCAAAATATTTTAGAGAAATTAAGGGAATTCATTAACACTGGACAAAGTCAATCACAGGTAAAGTCAAGGAAGATATGAGTCTTTGCTTTCAGCATTCTACCCTACTGACTAATTAGAATGACTTGATATTTTTTACATTGTAATTAGTAGGGTTTCTCTTCAATAAATAGCCTGTTGCAGTGTGTACTGGGAAATTAAGTTTCAGAAATTCCAGAGTACTTGAGCATTACTTATCTTGTTATTTTGCAATATTCTTGGTGGGATATATGCCCGAACACGTCCTGTGACCATAATGAGATATGGGAAATGTGTGGTCAGTTTGGTTTCTTAATAGTAGTCTTATGAAATGGACCCTATTTAACAGGAATAACCTATTCCAGGAAAGTCATGTCTCAGATTTAAGTATACGAAGAAGAAGTATGTTACATAAATTTTGGCTCAGACCATACCATGCCTGATCATACCTTTGTTCATGCCTGTGAATAGAAACTCTAGATGAGTTATTTTTTAGGGTAGAAGGAAATGTTTAAGAATTAGTTTCTACCTGTAAAGGAAAAACTTATCTTTGCCCAGGAACTGTTAATGTTTGTTTTTTGCACTACATGTACTTTTTTTCTTTATTACATGTAATTTTTTTTTCTGTACTATATGTATTTTTGCACTACATGTGCTTTTTTTTAATCTGAAAAAATTCTAGTCCATTGAGATAACACTCCACATATGAATGTTAACTTCCCTATATATGTTCATGTATATTTTGGAATGAAGCTATAAGTGATCTGTATGTTCCAGCAAAAGGGAGTAAAACTCTGAATGAAAATGTTTGGCTTTATGAAATACTTGACAGGTAATCTTACAATTAATGTTGAGTTGATACCATTTTTTAAATGTCTCAGTTGTCTGGCTAAAAAACAAAACAAAACAGAGTAACAGGTTTTAGGCATAAGGCTTTATGTTGGTGAAAGGGATCTGTCCTTTCTCTTGCAACTGATAACTATCCTGTAGAAGTGGTATAGAGAAGCAAGGTAAATGATGAGTGTATCCTGGTTTCATATTTAATAAGGAATTTAAGAAAGTGCTAGTCTCATAGAGGAGCAAACCTCTCTATAGCAGCTGGCGAAGCATCATGGGGAGAGCTCGCTCTTCTAAAAAGTTATTGGAAGCCAATTTCTCAAACTCATTTCAAGGAGTAATTTTAATATCTAAATGCTTCTATGCTTTTGAATACTGTATTCATTATTGGAGGTGTGACCAATTCGTACTACTGTGATAGAGAGAGGATATGACAACAAATGTGTAAGGGTTTTTCAAAGATAAAAATGTGGCTGCCAATCCGTCAGTATTCCTAGTAAGAGGTGCGCCAATTTCTTGAAATAATAAAAGAAAATTTCTGTTTTGACCTGAGATCTCTGCAAGTTCAAGTGCCATTCCTGGGATGGGGAACGATTCTGAAGTCTGTGAGGAACTATTTGTTTGAGCTCTCAGAGCCTTGGAATCATCGTGTTCAAGGTAGATTGATTGTATGGAGACAGGAAAGATGTTCGGAGAGACAGTGTGAGAGAGAGAGAAGCAAGGACATAGAAGCTTAGGGAGCATGCTCTACAGGAAAGCAATCAGTAATCAGCCAACTACAACTTCCTGTGACAGACTGATTTTCCCCCTTTTAAAAATTTAGAGTTCTTTTCTCTTTTATTTGTGAAAGCTAAGAGTCAACGGAAAGTTGGACTAATAGAAGTCTACATAATGTTGACTTTGAAAGACCCTAGATATAGTATCTGACCTCATTATTTTATACCTAATTGTTGTAGTTTATGATTAAGAGATGGAGACAATGTAAAAAATAAATTTAAAAAATTGTTGGTATATTATTCTGTATTTTCAAATAAACAAATAGGGAAAAAATGACTGCTTTAAGGGACAGAAATGACAGAGAGTAACTGTAGCCAGGCTGTATGTATATGTCGCATGTGTAGATTTCTTTGCTCTTCATGAGATAAGATGCACTGATTTGAGTATTCTTTGTGATAAAATAACAATAACTACGCTGAAATAAAATTGCAAGAAGAAAAGGTTTTGAACCCTGTTATCATCACTTAAATCTTTTAGATCTTTTTTCCTTTTCAACTAAATCATCTGTTGGTTGTTCAGCTTTCATCTCTTTTTTCTTTTATATAACTGTGAAGAAAATAAGGTTGTGTGACTAGGGCAAGAGTCTGGAAATAATAGTGATAGGAAGGTTATCTCTGATGGCTCCAGCTTACCTAGCTCCATTTCACCCAAAGCTGAATCTCTAGAATGTACAAGGGGTCATAATACATGCATTTGTGGTTTTTTAAATTTCATCTTTGTCTTACACATTGGCCTCATAGCAGGGACATTTTCCTTCCATTGTAGGTTGCTTTATAAGCTGGGTATATTTTGCCTTTCACGTGATAAACAATAAGGTTTCCTTAGCCCACACAATTATACTAGTTCCTATGCTGCCTATCATCACCTAATCATTGAAAATAAATCTCTACTTATGCATGTAAAAAAAAAATCCACTGAAAGCCAAAGATCAGAGAGTTGTTTGTGTTGGCTACTTAGCCCAAAATATGTGTCCATCAATTAGTCATCTCTCCTAAGAAAACAAGGAAATGATTCCAGTGAATTTACTTTCTTAGGCTTAATATCTATGGATCTTAACTGTCTTCTTTTTAGAATTTGGCCTTTTCTTCTGGCAGATCACAACAGGAAATCCCATATCACCTGGATGCATATGTCTCCCTAAGTCATCTCAAACCTTTGATTTGAGAAAAGGCTAGATTAAAAAAAAACAACTCTGGGTCTGGTCCATTTATTAATTATAGCTTTATTTTAAATACAGCTATAATAATAAATAATAGGACTAACAGCAATAGAACACCTCTTATTTAGGGGAAGAGAGGGAGAGATTAAATTTGTAAGAAGCTACATTTTTAAGGTTATACGGAATGTATAGCAGTATCCTTATTGTTTTCACTCCAGCTATGAATGGGAGAATGTGTAATAAAACTGTACAATTTGACAGATGTAGACAGCTGTCTCCCTCACAAGAAGTTCACGTTTTGTTACTGTCACCCTCGTTGAATAAGGGACAGCTAGGTGGTAAGGTCCATTTACAAAAATGGTTGTCAGGACATTTTTTTTTAATTATAAAACTCTCTGTGATGGAATTCAGTAAAAAGGCTACGAAGAGAAAGCAACGGAGACAAAAGATGGCTATTAACCTACAGATGCAGGCTACTGCATGCTTCACTGCAAGATTTGTCACAGTCTTGGCCAATGGAGTGTTAGTGAGACTAGAAGGGACCGCCCCTTTTCTGGGGTAAGGGGGCAATTTGGTCTCCATGCTCATTTAATCCTGAGACTTCTTTGAATAGACTGTCAATTGAACCTAAATTGTGCAAAATTATGCATGCACTTTTTAATGCAGGGTATTGTTCACCAAGCACTGAACCAAGGTTTCTCAACCCATTTCCATTTGGCATGAGGTCACTTGAAACTTAAGTAATCATATATGGAAAGACAAGAGCAGTGTACTTAACCAACCCTTCTCCATGATGGCGCCCCTACAAATGCCCACTGGGCTTTAATTACCAATCTCTCGCTTGAAAACCAGACACAAACGCTGGCTACGGTGACACTTGGTTTTTTTAATTGAGGCTCCTATTCCTAAGGTTGGGAGCAGATCTGGAAGGTCAGCGTTTGCTGCATTGTCTACACAGTGCTACAACTGAAATTGTAGAGGCCCAGGCATTTATCTAAGGACAAAGGACTAAAGGTGTGTGCTTTGGGGCTAGTACAGTGAGGCCTTAGAATTTTGTTTAAATCCAAATGTGGAGAGGTGGCCTGGAAAGCCAGTGAGAAAAATGTCTATCAGACTTGTAGCTTTAGGTTGGACTGACATGTCATTTCTTTTCAAAACCTGAACAGAACATTAACAGGAAACTTATTGATACATTAACCAAAGGCTATTTTCATGGAGTCCTGACAGAACACACAGCATTAAGTCATACTTGCCAAGAATTATTCTGTGAAAGCGTTGTACAGGCGACAGCTTACACAGCACGATCTGCTTAACAACAAGCCAGCTCCTGGCCAGTGGGGTGGAGTCAGTGTGAACTCTGCCACGTTCTAATTACACAAACTCTTAGCAGTCTCGCGACGGTGAAAGGCACTTTACAAATGTTTAAGGCTGGGATTTTATAGGGACTGGCTGCTTTCTTGCTTTTTCATCCGTTGTTAATGATTACAGGTTGGCAAAGGGACACCCGGCTAGATTAGATCCGCAGCGCATTAAAGCCTGCCTTCTCACTCCCCTTCTTTCCACTGTAAGTTGGTGAAAAGCGTAACTTTAGCATTTTACAGGAGAGGATAGAGGTGTTTCATCTAGGTGACGTCTATATTATAAAAATAAAAATATATAAATAGGTAACACGAACCCAGTGCCTATTGTTAAATAAAATGTACAATGAGGACAGGCCTTGCAGGAAGACTGCTTTAAACACAACGCGCTGAAATGATTTAATCATTGAAAACCACTGAGAACAACCCAGACGCGGGGCTCAAGCGACTCCATCGTGGCCCAAGAGGCAAAGGAGGCCGCGCTGTCCTCCGAGCCCGGCGGGGTGCGCGGGGTGCGCCCGGGCCCGCCGCCCGCG